TCTTTCCCTTTCCTGAAATCATCTTAATGAAAGCTAAATTGAATTTCATCATTTTAGGTAATTATTGCTTTTCGCAGCAGCAAATAATAAATATGGTCATCCAGTTGTAGCTAAAGCAACATGCATCGTTTGAAGAGCATAAATAAGATATGAGTCATCTTAAGAACTCTCTGAATTCTTGTATCCAAAAGAAGAAACACAGCTCTGGGGTGCAGAGCTCATGGAAAGACCATCCTGTGTGCAGACCTCCTTCAGAAAGCCAAGGACAACTCCGAGGTCGGTAAAAGATTTAGTGTTCTGTTGACTTTTTCCTGTCACTCTCAACTTTAGCAAAGCAGGGCACAGCAGCTACAATTGGGACAAGACAAACATTCGTGATGAAAACAAATCAGATGATGTATTGCAGCTTTTATGGTGTAAGAGAAGTTTCTGTGAGCCAAAACAAGCGAGGTGTCAAAATAAGCACCCTTGAAACGACAAACTAAGGCACTAAGGCCTACAAGAGCAACCTCAGCTTGCATGTTCAAAAGGAGGGGCACCCCTCAGCCCTATCAAGAACACCAATTAATTTCTTGCACACTGCAAATACAACCCAATCACAACAGAAAATCCCACATGATTTGCAGTGCTTTGATGTCTTCAGGGTATCCAAATGATTATTAACTGTCCTCCTACCCCCTCTTTAGATCTTCGTCTTGGAAGCCTCTCTTAGTAGAGACCAGAAAAAACACAGCTGGCTTTCGGAAAGAACACCATTCTATAATCAGGTTGACTACAGGAAGTCTTGCTGCCCAAGACCATGCATTAAAACTTATCATCAGTGTTATCAGCCTTGACATGGAAGTATCTAGATAAAATTCTCTTCGTGTGGTTACACAGAAATTCAGGGTAGAAATCTGATCATCTAAATGTGTATGTACTTACTGCAATAATTAAAAAAAAAAAAAGGGGGGGAGCAGGGGGCAATCATCACACTGCATTAACCGTCTATGCCTTAATTGCTTTGTTTGTCCAGAGGGGGAAGGAAAGAGTTCAAACTGACATCTTCGTGCATTCACAAACTGTAGTCCAGCTGTTACTGCACGAGTCCTTTCCCATCCCCTACATCTCTTATTTCATACTCTTTCTGGAAAAGGCCCGTTTGTTCCACCTGCTTCCCATGCAAAGGTAGATATTAACACAAGACACTGATGGATAACAAAGTTAATTCTTTATTTCCCACTCTAAGCTACTTTATTTCCCTCTTTGTTCACCAAAAAACCCCCAGCTGACACACTGATGATACAGTGTATACATCCAAACTTCATTTCATCCATCCAGCTTGTTGACTATGCATATACGTATTCATAGGAAAGATGCACGTCTGGGTTTTTTTGTTTTTGTTTTTGTTTTTTTTTATTTAGAACACATGCCTGGAATTTAAGGCAGGTAAGAACACTAGCATTTCAAGTCATCTGACAACAGATGAAAGCAGTGATTCCTCTAGTTATACACAAAGCTGTGCAACAAGACTTAATGGCTGGTTCTTTCTATGAAATACGCAAATACTCTATTTAGAAGCCTTTTTATTTGAACATCCTAATTTGTATTCTTTAACACTGCGAACCTTTGCCTGAGAAGAGATCTTTAGGAGTTCATCTACTCTTGTGTTTATCACCCACCTTGAGTCATTAGCCTGTGACATCCCATGTGGTTGCTGCACAGACTGACAGAGTATTTCTAAATGTGAACCAAGGAGAAGAGTGTTTTCCATGCAAATAAAGAATAACTTGAAATGTATGAAATGAGTTATTTTTATAGAGTGTTTTACCTTCACAAAAGATGTCTATATAATATCACCTACTTAACTATCATTAAAGTACTAAAAATTGGGATGACTGAAGCATAAAAAGACCTCTGCATCATCAACAGCAAACGAGCAGGTGAGGAGTTGAACAGATATATAAGCCAGTTTCATTTTCTTTTCTAGCTTGGCCTCCGTGAACTGCAGATTTGGTTATCTGATTTTGTGCTCTGCTGCTTGAGCAGCAAATCTGTTTCAGGGCTCAGGTACCAGCTCCCACTGAGTCGCCTTGCAAAAGACGTTAACTATTCCCAGCAGGTTCAACAGAAGCCAAAGCGCTGCAAGAAACGCCGCAATCGCTTATGGCTTTGTGCCATCTTACTTCGTTTCAGCTTGACTGGTATGTAGCTCCAAGCACCTAACGAACACGCTCAGCAACATCCTTCTGGTTCAAGTACAGTGAAAGAGTGAGACAACCCATTGCTCATCTTTCTTCCCTACATGTAAGATGACTACGACACTGACGGTTTATTTACTTACTCCACACCAGGAAATGTCCAAGCACCACCTGTTTCTACCTCCAAGAGCTTATTCTCCAAATCACTTAAAAAAATTATTATTGCAATACAAAGCAGTGGTCACAGCTGGCAGCAAGATCTACTTGCTGCCTTCCTCCATGATCTGTTCAAAAATACACGGATGTGTGTGTTGAAAACTGATAGCCAATTTTTCCACACAAAGTCTGGCATTTGACCACATAGAGAATTAGCCTGAAGTTTAGTCCAAGATTTAGCCAGCATACAGAACACTGATCTGCAGCATCTCCTACACATGCACATCACCAAGGCACGGGACAAAAATCATGCTCAACAGGGTTTATCTGGGATATTTCTACATAGAAGTCAAATTGACATAGGGTTTTAAAATTAATTCTGTCCTAAAATAGCAGGAATTAGCACCTTCTAGATGAATGTATAGCAACTACATTAAAAAATAGAAAGGAAGAACAGATGACAGTGTAATAAGAGCAACTTTAAGCACATGGTGTAAAAAAGGTTCAAGGTTGGACTGAGCATTTTCTGAGGTTGAGGGACATGTAAATGCTCTTTCCAGCACACAATCTGTTTTCCATAAAGCGCTGCCTCATGTGGCAAACTTTCCCAAACGAGGCACTTACGGCCCCCACCCAGGTACTAATTTTCAAAATCATCTTTGAGACTTAGAGCCTCTTCAGATCTGGTCAAATAAAATAAGTCCAAAAGTTATTAAAGAGCAGGGAGTGCATAAATTTTGCTTCTAAAGGAAGTCATGCTAATGAGTGTCTAAACCGAACATCTATCAAATGTACTTACGTGGTAGGAATATGGTTCACCTTCTTCCATAGGCTCATCTGCCATTTTAAGGCCATTTAGCTGGAAAGGGGAAGGAAGGGGAATGCAGAAGGAAAAAAAACAAAACAAAAACAACATTAAGACCTAACAATTCCAAATAAGCAGAGTTCATAATTTGACCAATTTCCATTTCAGAGTACGCAAATGAGAACTGGTATTCTTATTGCTCTAATTTACAGCTGTAGGTTCAAACAAATGCTACTGCTTAGTAGTTACATTTAGCATCTCCCTTATATATCAGGTCGCTTATCCCTTTGTAAATGCCACTCCATAATTATTTAATCAGAATTAATTTAAAATTCCTTCTTTAAAAGCCACAGATACCATCCATACAAGATGACATTAACGTAAAATTCTTCCGTTAGGCACAAAATTTATGTTGCAGATGCTTTTCAGAAACCTAAAATCTGCTGCTGAGAATTAATTTGCAGTTTAAGGACACAAGATTCAAAAGTGATTTCATGTCTTTTTGGGGCAAGAAGGAGAAGTGCAAGACCAGACATACCACAGAATTCTTATGCACAAAAATAATGACCTATTTCCTTAAAAAATTAGATTCCTTTAAAAGTTTGCTTGCATCAAAAGTTATTTAAATACCTACCAAATAGAATACTCAAACTTTAATGAAGTACTTTAGAAACTGTAGATCCGAATATTAAAATATTTGTGGATCAATTTCAAAAATAGCACCTTTAAGAGGCAAAAAAAGTATGATATGCATCTGGACAGAAGCAAATACAGGACATGCTCTTAAATGAGCACAACACTTGCTAGCATTTGCTTACCCCCCTTCACACACTTCAAACAACAAATAAGGTATCAAGGTCACAGTAAAAAAAAAAAAGGTTTAATTTATAGATAAAGTTATTTAGTTTAAGCTCTCCTTAAGTAACAAAGAATCCAATGCTTTTTAACAACTGAAATGAAAGAAAAAAAAAGAAATACAGAAACATAAAGGACGTGCTCTGTTTCAACATGCAAAGCATTAATTAAAAACTGGAAATACCTGACAAAATGAGTGAAGCCAATTATGGATTTTGCTAGTGATAATTGCTAATTTATTTATATGTTAATTGCTCAGCATCACTACCTTCATGTGGCACACAACAAAATACTAACTACAAGTAACATAAGGTAGCTCGAACTACTGTTTTCCTGAAAACAGAAGCTGAAGCAATTAAGTTCTTGAAGCAGGTAGTGTCATTTTTTTCTTGTATTTCTGAATTTATCTAAAAAACATGCCTAAGATACCACAATGCGGTATGATTATTGGTATGTGAACCGGTAAAACACAGGACTACAAAGAATCTTGAAGTGCCATACAGACCATGCCCCTGCGCAGAAAGCAAACAGAAATCTCGACAAACCAGTCGGGCTGAAGGGACAGGTTCATGCCACCACGACTGCGTCACCTAAGCAAACTCAACCACTTCCACTGCTGCTTCTAGGACTCTTGATTTCAAGTAGAGCTCTTAAGAGCCAAGTCCGACATTAATGATTTTGATAAAATTAAATCACCAATTTTTGTATCAAGATACTGGCACTTCTTTTTGAACTGTATCCTCACTGAAAAATAAAACAAAAATATCAAGGAAAGTAGCATGAAGCTTCGGTTACTTTCACTCTTCTCTAAGTTTCTATTTATTTTAACCACAACTTACACACATACTCTTCACATTAACTATAAACCATCATTTTAACCCAGCGCTGGCATATTCAACACACATTCATCATTCATATACATCGTGCGTTGCCACCCTAATTTCTCAAGGCCAAAAATCACTAACCTATTACCACGGATTCAGAAACCTCACATACGCTACAGAAACCAATGCTGCTAACTACTTTGCTACATAACTTATTTCTTTTTTGCATAACTATTTTTTCCAAATTAGATACGGGGAGGGACAGGACACCCACTAGACTTGTTATTGTATGAATTAATTGGATACATCAAGAACTAAATGCCAACATTCAGGCCAGATATGAACTCCAACCTCATTTCAGATGATTCAGTGCCACGTGATTTCTTTTCACATCATCACTAGATTACATTCAAGCGTGAACTAATGTGAGGCCCACCAAAGTGGTCCAAAAAATTTAATTGGACCTAGTAAGAAAACGGGTTTCCATTCCAGGTGCTCAGAAATCTAATTCCTCACTCACGGACTTTAATTTGAAGTGAATTTAGTGTGCATTTCACCTTTTCTTTCTTTAAATATGGCCAACGTTTTGCAAGGTTTTTTTCTGAAATTTAAGCTCTGGAACCAATGCCACTAGCCAGAAGAACTGCAGATACACTGAAAACAGTAGCTTAACTCCAGGCAATCGGATATAGAAAGTTGCCACTGCTGGAATGGGATTTTGAACCAAAAATCAGCACGTGATTTGATCTACGTAGTTCCTGAGCACGCCATGTAGGCGTACTTTCAGCTTTCTGGCAAATTAAATACAGTAAGTTATTGGGTTTTTATGGCAGGTAATCAAATGTCATCTTAATTAACAATTTCCTATCATACACTTTTCCCCTTCATTGTTGCTCACAGCTTTTTTTCTTTTTTTCCTGTCCAGTCTCTCTATAACTACAAAAACTGGGATGCCTGCCAATTTTTAGTCCAAAGAATTTTATGCTCAAGTGCATGAATCTACTTTTATTGCCTGACATACACAACTACACTTTGGCCTTATTCGTTTGTGAATGCTGGTCACTACCCATTAAAAAAACCAAACACCAACAAACCTGTTGGATCACAATCCAAAGTCTAGTAGTTTTAAAGAACTAGTAGTTTGCTAGTTACTCAGTTTAAAAAATAAAAATAATGACAAAAATCAAATCATTACTGTTCTATACAGTTACTTATATTGGTCAAGTTTCAGTAACTAGAATAGTTTCCACTGTCTCTCATATTAGGCAAAAAAGAAAAGTTACAATTAACACTTAATTCCCACCTTTATGGAAACCAAATACAAGAATCTGGGCCAACTGGGACCCCTTTTAGTGATTTAATCATTAATTTTTATGCACAAACATAGAGAGAGTTTAAAATAGTTCTAAGTCATTACTTACTAAATATCTACGATCGCACAAATTTAATTATTGAGAATCAGAAAGCACGTATTTCTGTAAGAGAACAGGCGAAAGGAAGCAAGTACCATTATTCTGAAGGAGATTCTTTCATCCTTGAATCGTTTTGCTGCTCAGTACTGCTGAACTCCTACAATTAACTGAACGTTTTAAATATTAAGTTTCATTAAGACGCAAACTAAACTCAGCCATTCAGGCAAACAGCGTCAAAACTTTGCAAAGAAAAGATTTTAAAGTTCGAGAAAGCATTCCGCGTTGTTGATCAGTATAAAAAAAAAATAATCAAAACCGCTACATAAAAAGAGCTGAGAACAAAGTTAAGGTCAGACAACCTGGCAGGTAAGGAACTTACTTTTCCAGAGGCGCAGGCTAAGAGATCCAATCCTCGGATGCCAAACTGCCTCCGAGGTAACGCAGCGCAATCTGCCTTCCGATTTAAATAGCTGCCATGGCTCCCATGACGAGCTGGGACTATCCCCTGTTACCTTGGGAGAATATCCAAAGGGCTTCTGTGGGCTGGTAAACAGCTTAACTACTATTGCACATGTTTTTCCTCTGATAATTGCAGCAGGACAGAGGAATCCCAGTATTACCAAAGATTAGAACCATCTTCTCCCCCTCCATTTTAAGGATGTTTTAACAGTTTGCATGGTAAATGCGTTACGGTTTGGTGGGCCTATAGCTTTTGGCCAAAAGGAGCTAGACAAATGGCCAGCAAAAATGCCCAACTACAAGGAAAAGCAGCAGCAGATGTAAAGCTGGTTCATCCCGCCCTGTTTATACATGTCTTCATTTACGCATTCAAACAGAATTACATTTTTTAATAGAAAAAGACAGAACTGGGAATTTTATAATCATATTATTAGAATTAGAAAGCGTCATTCATCACCACTCACGTATAATCTAGTCTGGCTTCAAACAGGTAAAATTCTACTTGAGGATCAACAGAAGATTCTGCGTCCTCCACGGTTCCTCCTTCGCCGCGCTCTCTTTGCTAAGTTACTGCAGCTACAGTCACCAGCCGACACCTCTCAATTCTTCCAAGCGAGCACAAGACAAACCAGTTTGCTTCCCCACGTACAAAAGTATTACTTCAAATACTGATTTCAAAATATTAGAGTGGAAGCTTACATTAGAAACCCCAATTATTTTGCAAAGGCTTTGGGAAAAAAAAAAAAAATCCTTTGGAAAAAATCCTGTTAAGACAACCACATTTGTTCCTCATTTATTTTGAATTACATCTGCAGAGAGTTTGCATCATTAATTTAACTAGCAACACATTGGCCTACTGTATCTTATTTCCTGAGATAGGTTTCAGAAATTTGGGGATTCTGTGCACAGCCAAACAGGTTTGGGTTTTTTGTTTGGGGTTTTTTTTTTGTTTGGTTGGTTTTTTTTAAATCTCTAAAAGTCACTGTGAAAAAACCTGAAGGTTAAAGGCACTTGTTCTTCCTATAAAACATCCACAACTTTTCTCCATGCAGTTTTTTTTTTTTTTCTTTTTCCCAGGCTAGATATTGTTACCCACACAGGTGCCCAAGCTGGATCCCGCGCTCTTTACTGCCTGGCGTGCTTTTGGGAAGGAGCAATTCCCCCAGCGCAGCCGCCAGCCCCACGAAGGGGAGG